TACCTTACAGTTAAGGAATCCCAGTGAGATTAACAATCATAAATTTATAATACCACAAACATCCCATTTTGTAATATTTTTTCCAGTAGGGCTAGACCTAGGTATCAGCATGATGCAAACAGATAATTGAGTTCAGAGATGATTATTAGTTACAAAAAGGAAAAGGTACCTTTAGAATGGCGAGATCTAGCAGGCACCACCTTAACCAAGTGATCAAACATAGGACCACTAACAGTGGAACAACCAGAAATTATGTATCCCCTGATCTGTGCAATAAGAAGTATATGACATCAGGTAGGAGGTATTCTTGCCAAAAGTGTAACGTGAACCTAATCATAAGGGCAAACCCAGGAAATCATAAAAATATAGAATGTGGGACATTCTACAGGACAAGTGGCCTAGACTCTTCAAACATCAATGTCATGGTTAAATGGGAAAGGGCAGAGCAGGGGGAGCTATTTTAGATTAAGAGACTAATGGGGCATAATAGCCAAATATAATGCGTGAACCTCAATTTGATCCTCGATTTTTTAAATTTTAGATTTTTTTAAAAAAGACATTTTGGGAACATTAAGGGAATTTTGATTGTGGACTTTATAGTAGATGAAGATATGAAAGTTATTGTTAACTTTTTAAATAGTATATAGTTATTGTTACATAAAAGAATGTCATTGTTCTTTGGAATGCAGGCTGAAGTATTTAGAGGTGAAATGCCATGATGTCTGCGACTTATTTTCAAATGGTTCCCCAAAAAATGAGTATGTACATATATATTTATACATGTATATATGTGATACCCACGTACATACATGTACTGGCATATAAAGACACTGAGAGATGGCAAATGTGACAAAATGTTAAAAGACTATTAGACTATTCTTTATAGAGTTTTACAACTATACAACTTAAAATTCTGAATTACCAAATAAAATTACATATAAAATTTTAAAAGTATATAAAATATAATTTTAGTCTAATGGGAAAACTATATGACTTACTTATTTACTAAATTATCTGGGAAATCATTATCCTAATGGTAATTTTAATAATTTTAAATATCAAAATATTCAACTGTGGAAAAAGCCATTTTTCTATTCACTCAGACCAAATAAGAATTTTTGTTGGAAAATAACAAACCATTGGTAATTTTATCGATTATTCTAGTAGTAAGGCTCTAAATGAGAAGGACAATTTGGCTTCTCTGGGAAAATACTTATTTCATGGTTGGCTTTATTATAATTTTGCTAAATAAAAATATCCTAGAGCAGAAGTCAGCAATCTCTTTTCCCCAAATTAATAATGTAAAAAATTTTAATTTCTACAACATTTAAGTACTATTAGATTTCTTTGGTTAATAGAATAAAAACAAGAGTAAAGAACAACATTCAAACCAGGCAAAATAAAACCTAAACTCAGTATTTAGGAATACATACATACTTAGGTAACAAAACTTTCTAAAAAATATTTAGGGGCTGGGCGCGGTGGCTCATGCCTGTAATCCTAGCACTCTGGGAGGCCGAGGAGGGCGGATTGTTTGAGCTCAGGAGTTCGAAACCAGCCTGAGCAAGAGCGAGACCCCGTCTCTACTAAAAATAGAAAGAAATTAATCGGACAACTAAAAATATATAGAAAAAATTAGCCGGGCATGGTGGCGCATGCCTGTAGTCCCAGCTACTCGGGAGGCTGAGGCAGCAGGATGGCTTGAGCCCAGGAGTTTGAGGTTGCTGTGAGCTAGGCTGACGCCACAGCACTCACTCTAGCCAGGGCAACAGAGTGAGACTCTGCCTCAAAAAAAAAAAAAAAAAAAGGTTATTGTTTGCAAAGGTTGTGACTGCAAAGGCACACGAGAATTTCTGGAGTAGTTTTCTATTTTGTAGAAATAATGGGTGGTAGTTAAATGAGTATATTTGCCTTAAAAAATATTAAATTTAATGAGTAATTCATTAAACTGTTTACCTTTTATTCATTTTTGGTAGGAATATTACATTTCACAGCAAAAATAAAAAGCAAAGGACAGCTAAAAAAAGAACTCCACCTAACCCAATAATCTATGTATCATTTCTGCTTCTGGCCTAGGCTTTGTAGAACCATCCAATTATCTATTTATAAAATGTCCTTTTGTAAGCTCTAAATCATTATATTAATACTGATTTAATTGCACCTATGAAGGGAAATAATCAATGATCCATATACTCAGATTCTAAAGAAAATAACATCCCTAAAAAATAAGAAATATACTATATCTCTTCTTTAGTCCTGTTTTATAAATGTGAAAATCTATAATTGTAGAAAAACTCAGCATAACCAAAGAGGAAAAAAAAAATCATTTTTGTCTATGAATTTAAAAAACACATACTTTTCAAGAAAAATTCAAATTTTATTAAATTTTTCAACAAAAGTACTTTATTCACTGAATATATAAGTATGATTTAATCATGTAATTTGGCTAAATACATTCAGAAATCATAAAAAAAATAGTCCTCCCTCAGAGTTGGAGTCCTAGTTTTTGATTCTGGGAAAAAAATAATCCTTCCTCAGAGTTGGAGTCCTGCTCTTTGATTCTGGGAACTAAACTAACAGTTGGGATGAAGCCATTGTTTTCATTTGTTTTTTCATAATTTCATTTACAATATTTCTTGTCCTTCAAAAAAATGGGCAAAATGGACACTTTACCCACAAAGACACAAAAATGGCCAACATGCACACAAAAAAGATGCTCAATACTATTAATCTTATTTTTATGGTCTTAAAAAAAATTTCTTGTCTTTTTTAAAAAGGGAGGAAGGAGCAAAAGATTTCAACACTTTAGAGAAAATAAAAAAGTCCAATAAAGCACATGAAAAGATGCTCAACATCACTGATCATCAAGGAAATGCAATTAAAACAACTACACCTCCATTAGAAAGGATAATGATAAAAACACAGACCACGCAAGTATTGGCAGGGGTGTGAAGGAATTGAAACTCTCCCATATTGCAGGTGGGAATATAATATGGCACAATCACTTTGGAAAACAGCTTGGCAGTTTCTTACAAAGTTAAAAGCACACTTACCATATGACCCAGAAATCCATGTCCTAGGTATTCACCCAAAAGATACGAAAACATATCCAGACAGGCACTTGTACATGAATATTCATAGCAGCTTTATTTATAATAGCTCAGAATTGGAAACAACTGAAATATCCATCAACAGGTAAATGGGTAAAAATACAGCATTTTCATACAATGGAATACTACTCAGCAATAAAAAAGAACGAACTACTGATAAATCTGACAGCACAAATAAATCTCCAAACCGTTATGCTCAGTGAAAGAAGTCAGACACAAAAGAAGATATATACTGTATGAGTTCATACATTTGCCACTCTAGTCTGGAGGTAGGTGGGTTGGGGGAAAACCAGAACAGAAAACATGAAAAGTCTTCTACATATTGGTTATATTCCAAAGATTGTGGTGGTGCTGGTGGTGGTACCATGAGTGTATAAATTTTCAAAACTCATCAAAATGTACACTTAAAATGCATGTATTTTATGTATGTAAATTATACATCAATAAAGGCGATTAAAAAGCCATTAAGAACATGCAAAAATATTCATACTGCCTTAAGAAAATGAGCCTAGCTTATTAGTTTCCCTTCCCAATGCCAATTTACAAAGAATTAAATGAATAACATTTTTATTAGCTTAATTTATACAAGAACACTTTACTGAAATTTTGATTGAAAAATCCATAAGGATTAGAATAATTTCAGGGGCTCTAAGGAATAATAATCACTCGAATCTGCCTTAGATTCCACCTTTCTAGTATATGAATTTCTTACTTGGCAACTGCCAAATGCTAAGGCAAGCAGTTTTCCAGAGAAAAGTAGTTCAGCTTATTTTCTGAAATTAAAATTCTGGTACTTAATACATAAGACTATACTGCTTTATATTTTGAGGTACTAAATAAAGCACTAGTTAAATGCATACTTTTAATGCATAATCCACAGTTAGAATAAATTATTAATACATAGCTCTGCCCTATTCTACTTTCATACTTAATTTCTGCTATTCTTCAAATTTCTTTATTGCTTGATATATCTTCTTTTTCCTCTGACACTGCTCTTAGTACCCATTTCTGTCGTATTTCACTAGCATCCAGGGCCAGCTTCATGGATGCACAACCTGCACAGAATGTAGTGTTCTGAGCTGACAAAGACTCTCCCCTTGACCAAACCAGAGGTGGGTTCCTATGAATCCTCTTTCTGACTAGGCCTCAACCTTGGGCTCTCTCCTTGGCCCATTTAGCTCAGTTTTAGTAAGAATCCTACTGAGTCAGATTATCAAAAATCCTCCACCCTTGAAATCTGGTCGAATTCTTAATCCCCCATCCTCAATAGCTTATCACCTCAGCCTGCCTGCCACAAGAATACTGTTGAGTCTGTCTAGCAAGAATCCCCCTACCTTGATGTTTCTTTTTAGTAATTTTCCATCCACTAAGCCCCAATCCTGCTCCTTTGCCATAAATTCCCACTTGTCCTTGGTTCTGAGTTGAGCCCAGTCTCTGTCCACTACTGCAAAATGCTATCACAGTAGTCCCTTGAATAAAGTTTCCCTTACTGTCCTTAACAAATATCATTAATAATTTTTCTTTAACAGAGCTCAGGCCCCACATTTGGTTTAATGCTATGCTGTCAATATCTTGAAATTCTTTTCTTTTTTTTT